TGTTTTCAAATAACAATAGGGATGTATTTTCCAAACTGCAAGCAATAGAGACTATGACAGTCTTTTATTTAAAACCAAAAACAACCATCACCACCACCAAAAAAAAATAAAAATATCCATAGACGTGATCTTGTAAGCACAAGTCAAGGTTGACTCAATCAATCACAATAGCAATACTGACCATACATTTTATCAAATGAACCCATTTTATTCCAATTATTTTAAGGATTGTTGGCTAGAGAAGTGTAACAAACTCTTGGTGATCTAAAACCATGGATGTTTTGTTACAGATAATGAAACTTTTTTATTAAACTTTGTTGTTTTTTCATTTTGGAAGCCTAGTCCAAGTGCAAAATTGACTTCCATGTCATGTCATAAGTACCAGCACAAAGCTGTCAAATTTATTCTTTTTCAAACATTATGTTATTTATTTATTTTCCCTGGTCTTCTTTGCCTTTGATTGCAATCTGTTTTTCCCTTGCTACTACACAGAAAGCCACAAATGATTTATATCAAGGTGAAATCAATTATTTTCTGATGCAATTTCAGGAACAGCTGAGCAAGAGATGTTGTACCCTATAATTGACCATGTTTAATTCTACTCCTTTGGACCCTAGGGAGTTCCAAAGAGGAGAGCAAAACAGGAACCCAACCCAGCCAATTTATAGTCCTTGTACCTTATCTTATTCAAATACGAGGCTTGAAGGGTAAGGCTGTGTGAGTCTGATTCTTTTTGCTATACATTTCCGTTTTCAGATCACCCAAGAGAAAGAACCAAAATGTTAGGTTGTCCTATATTCAAAAGCTAGATCAATTATCATTTTGGTAAAGCACATCTGTGATTTGCTATGTTACTCTTAATGCTGTTGGTGATAATATGCCTTCCTCAAGTCATATGCCATGATGCTAAATGCACCATCCACAACCATAGTATTAAACACAAGTCTCACCATTCAGGTGAAGTCATCATTGGTGGCATTATTTCTGTGATCTACATGTTATCTAACCTGATCACCTTTAAAAGAATTCCACCAGAAGAACTTCTTGATGATCCCATGTATGTAGCTATTACTCTTAACTATAGCAGCTCTCAAATATGGCTGGATAATGGGACATGTACTTTGGGGAGGGCATAAATGATTGAAATATAACTTTCATCTACTTTCAGATATACTTCCTCTGCTCACAGCTTCTACTCTATTTCTTACATACTTCATAATAATTGGTTAACAGCAAGAGAGCCTTTTTTTTCCCCACTTTGTTTCATCTTAAGATTTGTAGAACTGTACTTGCCTTGCTCTCACTTAATAGATATCTGACTTTTCTCCAACTCTCTGCTTCCTAGTTTCCCAGTACTTCTATCCCAAACTTCCATGTCACACCAATTCCAGCACAGTATATATTCAAAGGATCAACTTTTTCTCTTGATTGAGTCTGGCTGGAATTCATCAGTGAAGTATAGAGTAGATGAAACACTGGCCCAAACAAGCTTGTTTTTGGTTGTGAAGGACAGTCCTTATGCTTGTTTATGGCAACTTAAAATCTAACCACACTTTTATCCATTAGTCTTTTCCACTCTACAGCCCATTTCATTAGATATATCAAATAAGGTCTGAGGGAGGATTTTTTTTTTCTTTTTGGATGGGCAGCAGTGCCAGTGGATGATATAGAAGAATTCTTAAAGGAGAGATCAGGAAAAGAGAGAATTATTTTAGAGGTGAGAGACAAGAAGGATATTTTATATAATGGCTGTAATCAAAGTAGTAATACAAATGACAAACATTTTGCTTCCAGAGGAACACCTGCATCAATCTTGTAACAACTATAGTCCTAGATACCTTAGAGATAAATTATCGATTATTGCATTAGATTATTATCATGAGAAAGGAGATTAATTACTCTGGAGTAGAGAGAGTAGAATGGGAGGAAATGATGGAAAGGAAGGTGAGAGGCAGAATCTTTTTAAATGTGACCACACAGAAAGCAGAGATATGGAAGAACGACACTTTGGCCTTTACCTAATATGTAGAAAGAATGTCGAATCTTCCATTGAACTTCACCTTGGCGGTTTTACAGTCTAACCCATCTGTGTAATTCCTTTTCTCTAGTCAAACCCCTTGTCATCAAAGACAGGATTTCTTAGGAGCTGGAAATGCTTTTAGGTTTTAGATATTGCTACTTGTAATGTGGTTCAATGTACAAGATTGGACCTTTCAAAATGAGGTAGGAATGCCAATTACTATAAACACATTGTAAAATAGACAATTTACATTTCTCAAAGAAGTGGACACCAAACAGTGTATCTGCCAAGTAGCTGATTCTGTATTCAACTTTATGGAACAGTGAGGACAATATTTTCTACGCATTGCTTTTCCTTGGGGGTGTACAGTCTATTTTTGGACCTTGTTGTTAAGATTATTAAATTGAAATGTAGCAAAAAATGTTCTGACAGAGGAATTATCCACTCTTGAAGTTTGTTTCTACAGAACTACCTGCATATCTTGTCCTTGATCTTTGCTGTAAAGGAGATCAACAAAACTCCTAAGATCCTGCCAAACATCACTCTGGGCTTTGGCATATCTAACAGCTATTTCATGGCTACGTGGACCTACCTTGCTTCTATGGAGCTTCTGTCTTCACATAGCAGATTTGTTCCCAACTACAAATGCAGCACCAACGAAAACACAGTATGTGTTATTGCAGGACCCAATTCTCATATCTCTCAGGTTATGGCAGACATCCTGAGCATTTACAAGATTCCACAGGTAAGACCTGCTCAAGAAAAAAACAAAGTTCCTATTGATATGTGCCTTCCTCTTTAATGAAATTTCTGTATTCGTTGTAATTAATGGCAATCAGAACATAAATAAAATTTTGCCACACAACACTTTCATATTTTCCAGTCCTAATTTATGGAAAATCGCGCTAACAGTTTGAGGGAAAGATATCTTGTCTCCTATTTAAAAAGTAGGAAATGAGATAAATCCTCTTGATCTTAAGAGAGATTTTTCTTTTAATTTGAAATATTTTTCTGTTGTTTTCCATGAAAGTTCCATAGCAGTGAAGGTAATAACAAAAACTAAAATAACAAGAAAATTAAAACATACTATACATTTAGAAGATCAAAGTGGTACAGTCATAATAAAGAAGCAAAATATGGCTGAACAGTGATTTATTCTTACAAATGATTCAAAATAACATTTTGGCTTGTCTGCAGACAAGTATGGAAGAGGCTGTTCCCTTGAAGCTATGAAATCTTTCTTGGTTCATTGTTATCCCTTTCCTTCATTGGAATCTGGAGCAAGAGCTCATCATCAATTCTGAGATGGGGATTAGAAATTGAACCTTGGAGGCAGCTTAAGTTATCAAAAAGATACAAAAGCAATCTAATCCAGTTAAAATAATGGACTGGAGTATTACTGCCATGCCAAATCTAATACAGATTGCTATAGATCAGATAATCTCAGTCACAAGAGTTTCTTCCATGAAAAAATATGATTGTTTCAAGCAACGCATTCATTCTGGAGCATCTGTCCCAGCATTTCATATCCAGGAATATAGCTCCATCGGTATTCTTAGGAAGGAAGGAAGGAAGGAAGGAAGGAAGGAAGGAAGGAAGGAAGGAAGGAAGGA